TCTCCTACATATATATATATATATATATATATGTAAAAGAATATATATATATATATATATATATATATATGGTTTTACATTGTCTAGCTAGGGTGTATGCATGCAATGGGAGTAGAGTCTTAATCTTTTATTTTTTCATTTGGTGCGTGCATGCAGACTGGAAGCAGTTTCTTCTCGCTACTCTGCACTGACTCCTTTTAGACAGAGACAGCTAAAGCAAAGACAGAGCACCTTTAAACTCTCTCTGTCTCTGTCTCTGTCTCTGTCTCTGTATCTCTGTCTCTCTCTCATACCTTTATACTTAAAGAGCCAGCACAAACTCCAATGCTAGCAGCAGCTTGGGATCCCTGCTGCAGCTGCTGCTACTGCCGGTGCTGCTGCTGCTGCTGCTGCTGCTGCCGCAGGCTCGATTGAACATATATATAGATATATCTCATATACATTCATGCATATATATGTATACATGTATATACATATGTATATATACATATATATATCTGCCTCTGAGTTCTTCAAGTGTCTAAACCCTTAATAAATGCGTTAGTTCGTAAGCGCTGTTTGTTTGCTGCTGTCTCCTTTGTCTCATAAAGAAGTTATTACTGCTGGGCCTCAGCACTGCCCCCCCTTGGAGGTGCAGCAGCAAAGGCCTGGAAGTAAAGCGAGAAGGCTTCAATGCGCTGCAGTTGCTCATTTAAAGCCTCTTTTGAAACAGGGGATCTTCAGCTCCCCACGATCCCAGACGATCCCAGACGATCCCAGACGATCCCAGACGATCCCAGACGATCCCGAGGCAACCAGACCTCATCCGCTTCCTTCTGTCTCTTTTCACAATCTCTCTTTATATTAAATACAAATAAAATCAAATAAAACAAATAAATATTAAATTAAACAGCCTATCAAACAAATAAACACAACCTAAGGGCGCTCACTGGGGGGCCCCCCAGACCGGGGGGGCCCCCCAGTTGTCGTCTGCAGCTCTAATTGGGTTTAGCGTTCGGATTAGTTTTTTTAATAATTATTTTTATATTTATTATTACTAATTTAACTATTTTATTTAAATTAGGGGCCCCTCTGTATGGGTATGAGATCTGTGGGGTGTGAGCCCCCGTCGCTCTTCTGAGGTGTCTGTACACCTCAACTCTCCTCTGCCCCTCTTCTTTTTTCTCTTAAAATGCTGCAAGAAGTTTTTATGGCGCTTGCTGGTTATCCTGGGGACGTCTTTGTGCGTTATGAGGATTCTACGAGTCTTAAAGAGCAGCAGCTAGGCATTGGCTGCAGCAGCAGCAGCAGCAGCAGCAGCAGCAGCAGCAGCAGCAGCAACAGCAGCAGCAGCAGTAGCTCGACGTCTCTGTCTGGGGGATTTAGAGTTAACCCTCTTCTTAAGTGCTTCAGCGATGGAGAGAAAGAAGCACTGGAGAGAGCTGTTGCCCCTGGCTATGATTTGCTGCTAATAAAAGACTTCATTGTAGCAGCAGAAGCAGCAGAGGGGAGGGCCCTGCTGCTGCCTTCGCATGCGCAGCAACCACCAGCTGCAGCAGCAGGAGCAGCAGCAGCAGCAGCAGCAGGAGGGGCCCCCTCACCTGCCTCAGCAGCAGCAGCCCAAGGAGCAGCAGCAACACCAGCAGCAGCAACAGCAGCAGCAGGGGGCCTCTACACTGCTGCGCTCGCCAGAGCTGCTAGAGATATTGTTGATGATTATTTATCTGTATTAGCAGCAGCAGAAGAAGAAGTGCTGCAGCAGCAAGGCGCTCCTCTTGCTGCTGTTTCTGTCGCCCTCAAAAATCAACCCCACAAACTGCGCATCCTCAGATCAATACTCTCACAAGTAAACCCTAAACCCTAACCCCTAAACCCTAAACCCTAAACCCTAAACCCTAAACCCTAAACCCTAAACCCTGGCCTCGAAAGAAATCCCAATAAGTACTGTTTGCTCTCACCATTAGCCAGCGCAGCACCACCCGTTAGCATCAGCCCTGTGTCTCCTTTATGATGGTTTGTTTAGGGTTTAGGGTTTAGGGTTTAGGGTTTGTGAGTGAGTGCAGGTATGCTGCATGTCTTTATCTGCTGCTGCTGTGGGGGCCCCCTTACCTTGCGGCATTCTGCTGGATGTTTTGTGGAGGGGGCGCCACAGCGGAGACCCCACAGCTCGTGAGGTGTATATACACCTCATCGATGCATGCGCAGCAGTATTCTCCTTCCAGGTAAACAGACACAGAAGCAGCAGCAGCAGCTGCTGCTGCTGCCGGTCGGAGCCCTGATGCTGCATCTCGAAGCTTGCTGCCGCCTTAGCCTCCTATGCTGCTGCTGCTGCTGCTGCTTGTGCTGCTATCATTATTGCAGCTGCTTTTGTTGTTGTTGTTGCTGCTGCTGCTGGACTGTTGCCCTGGCGTTGCTTTTCTTCTTTTCTCACGAGTGTACCAACGACACTCCTATTGCTGTTGCTGCTGCTGCTGTTGCTGCTGCTGTTGCTACTGCTGCTGCAGCTGTCAGCTTGGCTGCT